CCGAGAAGAATGGTCCGACGGCTGCATAAGCCACTCCTGCATGCGACTTAGAAGCGTCGATATAAAACTCTGCGCATGATTAGTTGGACTAGAGTTGTAGGAAATGAATTTAAATATGTGCTTCTGGTACGTGTTTAGTGATCTCGACAAATGAGGTGCCACAATGTATAAGCTGCCACAGCCATGGCGGTAAATGTTTCGCTGTGGGCATAGGACAAAGTTCTAGCAGTAGAACACACATTTCCTCACTTAGGTTTCTCACAAGCAAAGGGAGCGGCTTTCTCGCTGCGGGTCGATTATGGAGGAGGGTGGCAGCGGTCATATCGTTTATATCCGAATAAGAAGGATGCTTGTTGATTGCGTGTACATTTATAAAATATGTGAAACTGCTATAAGACCGCTGCAGGTGAAGTGGCCACTGATGCGACTCTACATAGAGGCTCTGGATCGGACTTGTCCTGAAAGCACCAGTTGCAAGTCGAATACCCAGATGGTGAACGGGGTCTAGGATTTTTATTCCACTTGGCGTTGCGGAATGATAAATTATAGAGGCATAATTAAGGCACGACCAGACAAGGCTTTTGTACAACTTCAAGAGGCACTTTCGATCTCTACCTCATGTTGTACGTGATACAAGCTTTAGGACGTTCATCGCTTTCAGACATTCTATTTTTACATATTTAATATGAGGAATAAACGTCAGCTTAGTATCTAAGGTGGTTCCCAAGAATATGCTCGCTGCTCACAGAAAGTTGGTCTCCCTTGATCGCAACACTTGGTAGTAGCATTACCCCTCAGTTGTTGGAGAAAAGTACGCAAGCACTTTACTGGGTGTTTATTTCAAAACCATTCTCATCCGTTCATTTAGAGAATTTATTCATTCCAAGATGCACTTGTCGATCACAGATAGACATATTGCACGAGTTGAAACTCATCGGCACATCATCAACATACACGGAATAAAACATCGCGCTTGGAATCACTGATTGCAGGGAGTTCGTCTTTACAAGAAAGAGTGTGCAACTAAGTACGCCCCCTTGCGGAATACCAGTCTCTTGGGTAAATGATCTGAAGAGAGCATTTCCCACTTTTACGTGAAAGGTTCGGTTAGACAGATAACTTTCAATTGTGTTTAACATGTTCCCATGGATGCCCATGGCGGCAAGATTGCGTAGAATCCCGAATCGCCACGTGGTATCGTCAACTTTCTCTAAGTCTAGGAATACCGAACGTACAAACTGCCTATGAATAAGTGCACCTTTGATGTTTGTCTCTATGCGAACAAAGTGGTCTATTGTCGACTTCCCCTCTCTAAACCACACTGAAGGGGATCTAGTATACTGTTACTTTCTAGAAAGTGAAATAGCCGCCGGTTTAACATTTTCTCATATAGTTTGCATAGACAGCTTGTTAACGCTATTAGCCTGTAGCTGGCGGCCAAGGACGGGTCTTTGCCTTGTTTCAGTACCGGGATGACTATCGCTTCTTTCCATGACAATGTAATATACCCAGCTGCCCACATGGTATTGAAGAGGGTTAGATGTGTTTTCAGTGCTTCGGGATGAAGGTACTTGACCAATTCGTACATAATACAATCGCCACCTGGAGCCGAGTTGTTGCAGCACGCAAGAGATGCCTTAAGTTCAGCTAATGTAAATGGGCAGCTGTACGTCTCACTGGATGGACGTTTACATTTAAGGGCTCTTCGCGTTCTTTGAATGTTAAGAACGTTGCTGTATAGTGTGATGCACTTGGGACATATTCAAAGTGTTCGCCTAGGCAGTCCACCTGCTGCTCCAGGCTCTCACCTCGGCTACTTACCAAGGGTACAGGTTGTAACTCCCGGCCCATTAACTTGTTTACCTTATCGCAAACCTTCGTTTCGTCGTTGTAAGAATATATACCGGAGATGTGTCTATTCTAACTTCCTTTCCTTGCAAGACGACGCTTTCTTCTGGCTTCTGACTTGAACTGTTTCGAATTGACGAGGTTTTCAGTCTTTGGGTAATTTCGAAGTAAATTCCAAGCTTTATTTTGACTATTGCGCGCTTTCCGACCATCGTCGTTCCACCATAGGACGCGACGCTTATTAGTCATTCCGTTAGTTTGCTTAATATATTTCACTGCAGCGTCAATAATAAAACTTGTTAGGTATGCCAGAGCATCGTCTATATTATAATCAGTAATGTCATCTTCGTCTAAAAATATGTTTTCTAGGAACAGTTCCCAGTTGGCTGACTTCATCTTCCAACGAAGGAAGTTAGGCGAGCATGTATATTCTTCTGTTAACTTCAACATAATCGGAAAGATGTCACTCCCAAAGGGGTTCTTGAAAACGAACCACTCCAGATATGGAATTAGTGTACTCGAGACAATACTCAGGTCTATAGAAGAGTATGTGTTGTGTGTAGTGCTATAATATGATGGTTCTTTTTTGTTAAGTAAACATGCAACTGACGAAAACAGAAAGTGTTCTATTAGGCGTCCTCGCGCATCCAAACGAGTCGCCCCATAGGAAATTAAGTGCGTTTAGATTACCAATGACTATATATGGCGGAGGAAGCTCATCAATGAAGCTTTGAAACTGTGTCTTCGAAAGTTGATAGCACGGAGGAATGTAAATAGAAGTAATTGTTAGTAGCTTCCCGAACAGCACTGCTCGGACAGCAACTGCCTCAAGAGAAGTTCGGAGGTTTAATTGCTTACAAGCAACACCTTTATCAACTATTATAGCAACACCGCCCGGCGAGGCGGCAGCGTCGTCATGATATTTGCGGAAGATGGCATATCGCTTTAGAACGTTTGTATGTGTGCACTTGAAATGTGTTTCCTGAACACACAGCACCTTTGCAGTATGTTTGTAAAGAAGTTCTCTAATATCATCGAGGTTATGAAGAAGTCCTCTCACATTCCACGGCAAGGTGTGTGTGTCCATTTTAGATGTGTTTTGTGCTGTCTGCTCAAGGATGGAAAATTAGCTCGCGGACCCTTCCCAGGGGCCGTACATGACATTTTTCTTTTTTGGATCGGTCGATGGAGTCGCGCCGATTTTAGGCGCTGGCTGCGCCCTCACGCTCGGTGTTGTGTCCAATGCCTCTTGCGAGGCGCTGGACACGCGTTCCTGCGAACACTGCATTTGTTTTCAGGGCCTCGCCTGAAAAGACGAGACCTTCGCGGCCCCCAGCCCAGAGGTTGGTGGGTCCTTCTTGGATGGCGGAGCAGCACTGGCTGCAACCGCCGAGGGGGCGGATGGTGTCACCGCCGGCTCACTACGCGTGCGCCAGACAGCCACCGGAGGCCGTCGTGGCGCTGCCCCCTGACGCGCCACTTCGGCAAAGCTGGTTTCTGCTAGGCAGGACACCTGCCTTCGTGCCTGCCTAAATGAAATGTTTTGTTTGACTTTCATTGTGACAATTTTCTTTTCTTTTTTCCAGCATGGGCATGACCGTTAGTATGCGGCATGCTCCCCATTACAGTTCACGCAGTGAAGAGAGTTTTCACAGGCATCAGATGTGTGTTCTTCAGCTCTGCATTTCGCACAAGTTAGGCGGTCCTGGCAGTTCTGGAACTGTGGCCGAACCGCTGGCATTTGAAACATCGGAGAGGCTTTGGTATATATGGCCTCACTCGAAGCTTGATGTACCCAGCCTCGAAGGAGTCGGGCAGTACACTTGAATTGAAAGTAAGTATTAGGTGCTTAGTCTGGACTTCTTTGCCATCACTCCTCATCCTAATTCGATTCACGTTGATGACATTCTTTTCGCTGAAACCCTCCAGGAGTTCAATCTTCGTCAGCCCTAACAAGTCATGATCTGAAACAACGCCACGAGTGGTGTTCATGGCTCGGTGTGGGGTTACTAATAATTTGGTATCTCCAAATTTCACTACATTAGGCAGTCTGTCATATTGTTTCTGGTCGCGGAGCTCCAACAGGAGGTCACCACTTGCCCTTTTCGATGCTTTATATCCTGGGCCAAAGATTTCCGTCAAAGACTTTGAAACTAGAAAAAGTGGAAGTGTTCGCACTGGTTTGCCGGGTGTGTCGGCGTGGATAACGTGGAATCGGGGAAAAGCTACTCTCTGGCAACCAAAAAACTGGAACACCTAATCGGTGCGCCCTCTTTTCTGAGGGCTATCAGGGAGTGGGGGGAAGGAACTAACCATATGTAAATGTTTAGTTTTCGGCAGCGGCGCAAGCCACCCACCATGGAGTCCTACAAGGGGACGCTGCAAGGTCTGTAAGCACAGGCCTTGCAGACGCCAGCTGTACGCCACCACTATAACCGAATATGGTGTATCCAAGGTAGGATAGCCACACAGGGTGAACTCTTGCAGCCAGGAAACACGGAAGTCAATGGAAGAGAGTAGAGGAGAGAAAAGATTTAAAGTAAGAGAAAAGACGAAGATGTGTGGGGGAGACAGGAAAAGGCGACTGCCGATTCAACAAGGGTGGTCAATCCGGGGGTTAATAACGAATGCCTTAATGTGAAGAACATTTGGGCGTGGTTTAAATCATCGTAAAATTCAGCCCAGCTTCGCTTTCCGAATCTTTCAGCTCTTTTCGAAAAAAAAACAAGCGGAACAACAAACTATTTACTTGATCTTCTGTTACAGGTTCGCCCAAAATGAGCCGAATAAAGCATTTCACGTTTGACGGTCTCGTTGCCCTCTTCCGTATCTTCACTACCACGAGACGATGCCATGTTTTATAAAGCGTGGGTGAGGACATTCATTGGCACCTATATAAGTATTTTGACTCACTGCAAATGGCTGTCGACGCGATATGCAGATCGTCAAGCAATGTGTTCACTTCTTCATCTGAAGTTCAGATAACAAGTGCAATCCTGCCTGTATCTAGCTGCCACATCTGATGGGATAAGCTTCAAAGCAGTCCCACCCACTCCTCTGTGTAGTGCGTTAGAGCCGTGACAGCATGCAAAAAGACAAAATGAAACGAAATTCGGTCGCAGTAAAATATTGTCAGCTGCGGTGGTGCCTACCGTTCGTCTTTCCCTTGCCATGCTTTCCCTCTGAAAGAAGAAACAAAGAGTGCGTGAAGAGCAGTACTTGAGTTTCACGCACAAAACTGCACACTTTCTCGCAGCACATGTTTCGTCATACATGATCACTCTGTGCGCGTGGCTCTGAACGAAAATATAATTAGTCAACCTGCATTTATATTACATAGTGATTATGAAAGGCAGAAGACACATAGCGTTAAATCCTCTGCGATAAACAGAGATTATTCATTACTGTTCATGTCTCATAAACAGTCGTTTATATTACACTTTAGTAAAACGTAATTTGGGGCTAGTTGGTGCATGTTCCTGTACTAATATAACAGCACAAGAAAACAAGACGCCCCACATAGAAAAAAACATGACCCATACGAGTGCGGGCAATCAATAGCTTCATTTATTTCGTTGTCAATGCATATTTAAATCTAAGACAGCTTTACCCCACAAGAGTAAACAGCAGAAATTTTAACAAGTGAAAAAACAGTGATGGCATGGCTGTAATTAGGTACGCGAAGAAAGCAAACGGTGTGAATGCATGGTCAAAGGAGCATTCATCTGAATACTGTTTGTTGTCTTCGCGCATCTAATCATCACTTTTCACTTGTTGTGCACTTTCGTTGTGCACGCACATGCTTACCCTCGGACTTACATATGCATTGACAACCGAAGGAATAAAGCGCTTACGTGTGTCGGCTTTTAAACACTGCGCCACGGTCACGCTTTAGAGGCTTGAAACACGCGCCCCTTTGGTCCTCTCGCAGTGTCCTTGGTGTAGTATCGCCCTTTGAGAGCCACGTAGGGCAATGTATCATTATTGTGGCCTTCACGATTAGCCCCTGAAACTTATGGATGTCCTATTTAGGACGTTATCAAGAGGAGTACAATTTTGTATACGCCTTAAAGAGACCCTGAAACGGTTTTGGTGATTTCGTACACACGCATTGGGCCGGCAGATCAAGTCCCAGGGGTTATTCAGAGACCTATTGGTGCTCTCTGCGTACACTGCGTGATTTATTACAACGTTTTAAGGCAGCGAATCACTGCAGATTAGTGCAGATCGGTGCAGCTCGGCCAAACGCGTGTTCAACTGCCCATTCGCAAAGCGACATGAGCACGCCACCATGGCTGCTGGTCTGATTGGCCTTCATGGACTGTAGAATACAAAGAAGTCGGCACCTGTCAGAGCAGAAATGAACCACAACGCTATATTCGTCTTTGTTGTCATATGGCATGCGCGCTGCTGGGCTTACAATGTGATGTCATTCGAGACTGAACGCAACCTGTGAGCGTGCTATCTTGGAGGTCTAGACTGCGAATATCCCCAATTTTCTAGCGCGCTCATGAGAGCTACGCGATCGCCAGCGATGCCAGCATCCCTCATGAGTTGAGGAGGCCAGACAGAGATGAGAAGGTGAGTAAGTGGGTATGATATAATTGTCGTGGCGGCCTTGATACACGGCGTGTCACTTAATTTGTGGTGCAAACCGTTTAATGATGTTATAGCCTATACGCTGACAAAACTTCAAAAAACCATTTCAAAGTCCCTTCAATACGCCGTGAAGTGGCGACCTAACAGAGCGCTATATCAGCCTTGGGCGACCTAAGCCCAAGCGTCGGCCTCACTCTTAGCATTCATCCAAACTGCGACGCACGTCTGCTTCATTATCACCATCATCAGCCTGACTATGTCCACTGCAGGACAAAGGCCTCTCACACGTTCCGCCTGTGAACTCAGTCCTGTGCTTGCTGCTGCCCGCAAACTTCTTAATCTCATCTACCCACCTAACCTTCTGTCTCCCCCTGACACGCTTGCCTTCTCTGAGAATCCAGTTAGTTACTCTTAATGACCAGCGGTTATCCTGTCTACGCGCTACATGCCCGGCTCATGTCCATTTCATCTTCTTGATTTCCACTATGATATCCTTAACCCCCGTTTGTTCCCTAATCCACTCTTCGCTCTTCTTGTCTAGTAAGGTAACACCTACCATTTTTCTTTCCATTGCTCGCTGCGTCGTTCTTAATTTAAGCTGCACCCTATTTAGTAAATCTCCAGGTTTCTGCTCCATAGCTAAGTACCGGCAAGATGCAGCTGTTATATACCTTCCTTTTGAGAGATAGTGGCAATCTACCTGTCGTGATTTGAGAGTGCTTGCCAAATGTTCTCAGCCCCATTCTTATTCTCCTATTTACTTCAATCTCGTGGTTTGGCACTGCGGTTACTACCTGCCCTAAGTAGACATCGACATTTACAACTTGAAGTGCATTATTACCTATCTCGAAGCGCTGCTCTCTTCCGAAGTTGTGGTACATTACTTTCGTTTTCTGCAGATTAATTTTAAGAAACAGCTTTCTGCTAACCTCGTCTAACTCCGTAATCATGAGTTGCGATTCGTCTCCTGAGTTACTCAGCAATGTAATGTCATCGGCGAAGTGCAGGTTACTTGACGTATGCATGTGAGAGGTCTGCTTCACCTGGTTTTAATAGGGAGTTTTAGAATAGCGCACTGCAAGCCCTTGCGATGCGGTCACCGTTACTGCGCATGCGTCGTAGCGTGAGCCGCCGTTCACGGCACGCCCACAGAAAATTCGAAATAGCGGGTGGCGTGTGCAGCCCGCGTGCAGCCCGCAAAATCTGGTTTCTAGGCTACGGTGTCGCTGCGATCGTGCGTTGCGGTTTGCAGAAGGGCAAACGCTGTTCTAAAACTCATATGGCGCCCACTATGCTCTCAACAACCACAGCGCCTGCTAACGTTATTCTAAAACTCCCTTATACCGATAACCGCTTAAGCTCACCCCGAGAATAATTGCGGTTGCACAACAAGCCCACGGCGACGCACTTTGCGTTTCCCTCGAGGCCGGCCCGTGGTGTTCTATCACACTTTCACATGCCGTGAGACGACTACCTTAACCTATGGTGTGCGTCCAATATGCGGCGCTTTTTCTCATATCTCTCTTCTTTTTCCCAATACGCTATCGCCGTAAACTAATCGAGCTACCGCAAGGGTTCGTTCATTTATTAACTATGGTTGTGGTTATGGTTCATGAAGATTACTCGTCGGGGTTAGGTGTACCATCAAGAGTCAAAGTGGGTATATCCACGCTAAACAGTGACACAACTTCCCAGCACCATAAATATTGTGTGAACTCTCGCACCATTGTACAGCAAACATTTCATAATCTCTGTAAGAGTGCGTGTTTCACCGTGGTACAAATATTCCGGTGACAAAAGAATCAACCAAGGCTTTTCGCTGATATTTCACTATTTTCACTATGTTTCCTCCTTCAATTCAATTTCTGTATCTGCCTGCGTTGTTCCAAGGGATGAACACACACTGGCTCATACAATGGCTGTGACTAATGGTTTCCGAGCTTCTTTCGTCACTTGTTGAAAGAAGAGAAAGCCATTCTTAGCTCATTCTTAGAATTCATTCACAGTCATGAACAGTTCATGAATTCATCCGATTTACCCTCAATTGCTATTCATTCTTAAATACTCACCACTCGAACAAAAGGAAATGTGTCTACTAGTCTTAAAACGGCGCTAATTGCCCGCTGTCCTCACTGTTTTATATAGTGGCAGGCATTGTAAGGTGGTCAAGAATGTTATTCAGAACGGTAATTCAGAATTTAAAATATTTAACTTATTATTAGTTGAGTTAAGCAGTCAAGTCAAATAGGAGAGTTAAAGTCTTTCATGCGAAAAACCGATTGTCGCTCTGATATTTCGGGAAAGCGGCCTCTAGTAATAACTGCGAATCAATGAAATTCTCACCAAGTCTGCTGGAACACCGAAACGCGAAAGGGCAACTGAAATGAGCGAGCGTTATATCAGCCATCAACCGACATCTTTGGTGGGTATGTGGGCTGCGCTCACCATTACAACACGCATGATGCACATACGTTATTGAACGGGGAAGAAGTACAGCCCTGTAACCGCTGTTTTGAACAGTGACTTTGTTGTAGTCGTCTGCTTGTTGCGCTCTTTGGTACATTGGTTTTAACGCGATAGTGTTAAAAAGCTGGTGTCGCAGAAAACCTGCTGCCGGTGTTTTGGGTTCGCCGCAGAACTCAGATTATTATTAATTCGTAGTTATTACTAGAAGCCGATTTTCTGTAATATCAAAGCGGCAATGGGTTTCTCGCCTCAAGAACATAATTTTTTTATTGTCACTTAACTGCCAAACTCCACTAATTAAAGAGGTAATGAAGTTAACTTTCCTAACTACCGTTCCGAATGACGTCTTCAACCTTCTTTTGATGTTGGCTTCCACAGTAATTGTGAAGACAGCGAGCAAATAGCGTCGTTTCCTGACTTTTAAACAATACCGAAATATGTTTTGAAACACTCTGTATTTGCCCATAATAAACAAACTATTACTCACTAGTGGCTGCAGTCAATGCGACAATGGTGACTAGAACTGCTACACCGAACACGAACTTCATGTTTACCGTAACGGGTCTTGTTCCGCACTTTTCAGCTCTGCTGTGAAGCACCACCGCTTCACTGAGAAACAGCGTTTATATCGTAGGCCACGGGGCGTGGCCAACAATGGGCCAAGCGTGAACCTGGCCAACAAAGGGTGCACGCTACTGTAGCGCCAAATTTCATGAACTCGTAGCTTTGCCCACGCTTTGTCTGCTTAACAAGCACGTCATGTAAGTTACGGGCGGTACAGCGGAGTCATTTTCTGTGAGCAGCACAATAGAATGGCTGCTGGCAAAACACAGTCCGTCTGCTTCGCAGCTGTCTTGCTTTCTTTTTAGCCTGTTATCTCTTTTTTCTAAGGGGACTTTGAACCTCGACGTTACGTTGCAAACAAGTTTTCATGATATCGTATCAGCCTGACTTCAGAGCAGTGGCGACGCCTTGGCGATGAGATCGCAGACGACTCTGAATGCTCATTACATTCCCGTGCAAGAAATCCTCAACAAATCGACAAGGATCGCGATAAGACAGAGCCGCCCGCCAGCACCGGTAACAACCATGGTGGCGGAGGATGAAACACAGACGTTCAGCTGGTTTCTTCGTCTTCATCTGAAGAGCAAGTGATACCAGTGGCGTCTGCATCGATCGTATCGGCACACTGATGTCCCCGATATAGGAACGGTGTAGGAACTGTACAGGCGATGCATTTCAATAATGCACGGTTACAAACGGGGTCGTGCGTGACTTTCGCACATGGAGGCCAACAGTAATAAAGAATTGGAATGGCAATTCTATACTGGAATAATACATGAGATAAACCACGCTGAATTTAGTGCCACTAATTTAGTGCCATTGTGACACTTCTACATGACGGAGAATGAATCAAGAAAGCCGTAAAAAATTGTTACCACGTTCCGTCTTCAAATTTTGTTATCGCATCGTTTCACTGCCAATACTTTTCAGCGCAAACCGCGCCTACACTGTTTGAGAAACTTCGCGATGGCAGTAATTCATTTTGTTAAGGTTACGCCCACTTTGTGAACTTTACAGATTATTCTGGAACTTACGTCGCCGCTAGCGATAACGGGAGAAAATTCGATGGCAAGTGTGCCAATGCCGACACGATATTATTACTAGGCTTTCTTTAACATAGTCATTGCGCTAGGATGTCTGCTACAACACTGAGCAATAGATGCATTGTCAGCACCAATGTACTCAGCAAAACGAATTAACCAGTTAGCTGTCAAGTGCAATCGGTCCATTCCTTGCGCTCAGCGTTTCTCTCGTGCGGTCCTCCATAGCCGGTACCGTATTTCGGCAAAATAACGGATGCATCAAGTTAGTTCCAACGAGCGCTAATGCTCCTTTCATCATTCCTGCATGTGACTCTTTCGTGAGCTTTATATACTGCAAAGTGCGTAGTTTCTTTAACATGATAGCTGTCTGTGATTCAGCTCTTGGTCTGTTTGTTCTATAGCGGTGTGGTTATGATGACTGTCGCAGCTCAAACTCGGCTGTTCCCCAACATTCACAGTCATGAACAGTTCACAAATTCATCCGATTTACCCTCAATTGCTATTCATTTTTAGATACTCACCACTCGAACACAAGAAAGAAGTTCTGAACACAACTTCTTGCTTGTTTCGAGTCTTTTAAGACTGAATGCTTGCCAGCATAGCTTCATTCTCTCTTATTTTGTTGCTAGGATCACGCATTGTGGCAGGACAATGACTTAGTCATAAAAACTGATTATTTCGTGAGCCTATTCCTCTAAGCCCACAACTCCTATGAAATATTGTTGGCCACTTTTTGAAGAGACTAGTAACTTCATCTTTAGCGTGCGTTACAGCTATAGCTCTGATACTGAGGTACCCTTGTTGGACTCTCGCATGACCTACTCAATCCTATTTTTTTCTAAAGTCCCGGATTCGACCTCTGTTATGAAACCCTCAGTATAGATCACGAGTAGTAATGAACCAAGCGCAGATCCTTTCCGAAATCGACAGGAGTCAATGAGGAATTACCATCGTTAGAAATTGAACTCAAGATGTCAGAAAGGCGCGAGCCTAATGGTTAAAGCTCAGTCGAAAATTAGAACGCTTACTTTACTAAAAAGCAGAATATTGTTAGCCTTGTATATTGTTTTAGAAAAGTTCAATAATATGCAAGCTTTAAAGAAACGCGATCTACAGCAGAAGTACGCTCCACCGCGGTGGTCTAGTGGCTAAGGTACTCAGCTGCTGACCCGCAGGTCGCGGGATCGAATCCCGGCTGCGGTGGCTGCATTTCCGATGGAGGCGGAAATGTTGTAGGCCCGTGTGCTCAGATTTTGGTGCACGTTGAAGAACCCTACGTGGTGTAAATTTCCAGAGCCCTCCACTACGGCGTCTCTCATAATCATATGGTGCTTTTTGGGACGTTAAACCCCCCATATCAATCAATCTACTGGAGAAGTACGGAAAGCTGCGCTTGTTGGTTGTACACGCTTAGAGAACAGCGCGATAAAGGCTCAGCACACACGAAAAGGGGGCGCACACATCGCTGACTGTCAACATTTTTTTTTTGTATTGTGAGAACAGTGCACTGCCTTTCAATACAAAAGACCCCTCCACCAATGGTCCGCGACAGGACATGTCACAGATAGGCCACCTACAGCAAACCTAAGACAGATTACGAAACCTCTAACACAAAAAATACAGTTCTCTGGGCGAAATTGGGACCCAGCATTCGCTATGTGTTGTACTTTCTGACAGGGATGGTGCTTTCGCCATAGCAAGGTGTGGCAAGCGAGCGACACAGACTTTTTGAGATTGATATGTCACTGAAAAAGTAACAGACTAAAGCTATGTCAATTTGTGGCAACCTCAATCTTGATAACCTCCACAGCAATGTAGTTAGCAGTTCAAAGCACTGTTTCTTGCCACGTGATTTATTCACGTAGAAACGATCTATAAGGGCGAGGAACGTCAGCAGTCCGCAAATCCAAGCCAGTGCTAACTCGGGTGGTGCCTGTAGACCACCGACGCTGTGATGATGATGATGATGAATCCACAGACATGGCTTGTACTCACTCAGGGGGATTGGCCAAGAATCGATGACTTAATTAAGTTTTTTTTTAAATATCGAAACCACCCACCAGAAAAAAGAATGAAAAAAGTAAAGACACCCTAGTCAGAATGAATGGAGTGCAATAGTTGCTTGTCACTCGTGCAGATAAGACAACTATTCATTACCTTGAATAAGAATCAGGATAGTTAAACAATGCTCTTGTGTTCGTTGGAATTATTATTATTTTTTGCATGATTAATAATCACGCAATTAAAAGCTTAATTCTTTTACTTTCATTCAGGTACTTGCAAACTGCGTAGAAAACGTTCTCGTGGCTGAAGCCCAGATCGTAAGCACCGAAGGAAAGTATGTTTTCTATAGTGAAATTCAACCCCAGGCTAGCGAATGGGAGGGCTAAGAATGTTTTCCTAAGCAATTTGTATCGGCGACATGATAAAAAATAGTGCTCTATTGTTTCCAATTCTGAACAAAAGTTGCATAGTGGTGATATCGCCAGACCAGTCCTATGTGAATAGAAATTTAACGGGGGGACACGACATCGAAATCTGGTTATTATGGTTTCCAACTGTTTTGTAGGACACCAATGACTTTTCCATGGAAATCTTAAGTGAGTAAATTCTGGTGTTGCCAATATTGCTTCCATAGCGTCTGCACTGAGCGCAAGCTTTCTGTATCTTGTCGCCGTTATAGTGGCCACTTCGGGAAGGACTGATAGTACCTTCCAATGCTGCTCGTGCTAGAGAGTCGGCGATTTCATTTACTTCTAAGCCGCAATGACCGGGTACCCATACTAATTTCAGTAGCTGTAGCTGAGGAGGAACTAGCATAAGGAGCGTCTTTAAGGCCATCGATTTTGTTGACGCCGTAATCGACGTACATACTGACAGGGAATCCGTTATTATGATTGCATTAGCGGCATTCAAAGGTAGCTTTCGCAGCGCTAGAACTATTGCCAACAGCTCAGCTTCAAAAACTGGGGTGAAATCTGGTAATCTTAATGAAAAAGACCAGTCAAGCGAATGTGAGTATATACCTACACCTGTCTTTTCATCCAATACTGAAGCATCTGTGGCTATAATGTTATTCGTTTCCGCGTGTGCAAGATAATCCTGCAGTCGTGTATTTAAGACCCTATAGGATTGTAATTTGGGCTTAGAGGGAAAAATCTCATCGAATTCAATCTTAAGAATTTCATTTGTATCCTGCGCAGCAATCACATCTCGAATTTTTACATTTAACCTATCTAGTTGTTTCTGGACAAAAGCAATTTGAGGTGTTCGAAAGCGTGGCCAATGGGCAAGAAAAAAGCTGTCTGGGTCATTTATAAAATCATACTCAGATCGTCTTGGCGCATAGCTATAAAATTTCAGAAACGTCTGAACCGTTAGGATACGAAAACGGCAAGGCAATGTAGGTAATTGTGCTTCCTGATACAAAACATTGTTTCTTACAAACCTCGGAAGCCCTAGACACAATCTCAAGGCTTCTCGTTCCAGCATAACCAGAGGCTTTATTTTATAGGCAGGGCCACCTGAGAACAATACGCACCCGAATTCTAGGATTGGTCGCATATACATTTTATAGATCATCACCATTGTGCTTCTGCGTAGACCATATCGGCGGCTGCTCAGTCTACGAAGAATTCTTAAGGCGCGTTGTGCTTTAGATGCCATGCTTTCTATGTGAGGAGTCCAGTTTAGGTTGGCAATCTAAGTTACTCCCAAATATTTAAGAGATTCGACCTGTGGAATGGGCTCTTGTTTATAACATATTGAAATTGAGATGGGATCGGATAACGGGAATATCAATACTGCACTCTTATTTACATTTAAGGTGATGCAGACTGCATCTAGCCATCTCTCCAGCATATTGACATATCTCTGTAGCGTTTGATATAAAGAATACATGTCACTATGTGCCGTGAAAAATGCAATATCGTCAGCATATACAAACACATTCACGTCCTGGCAATGCGGTATAGTGCTCATTAAGATGTTAAATAGAACTGGCAATAATACAGCGCCTTGGGGGAC